TTTGACTGAATTTTAGAGGTTTGGCATTTTTAAGAATACTTGATTTTAATTAGAGTTTAATGAAACTAAATTTGATTGAATTAAAAAAAACAAAAACAAAAAAAAAAGTTTGATTGAATTGGATTTTTCTAGAATTAATTGTGATTTTTCAAAGTTTAAGTATTTTTTTAAAATTTTCTTAAAATTATTTAATTAGAGGAGATTTTTAGATTTTGATCCAAATCACTCCCAAATATATTGGAATAACCTCCAAAAATTCAAAAATGACCTAAGGGGATGATTTAAAGTATTTAGGAATTTTTAAATATTTTTAAATAATTAAATTAATTAATTATCAATATTTCCTTTAAAATATATTAATATTAAATTAAAGGTAAGATTAAGGGTATTTTTATTTTCATGGGTTAAGGGTTTAATGTTGGTAATTAGAGGGTTTATGTGTGTTTTTATGATTTAATATGAATTAATTATGAATTAAATAAGTTTCTAGGCAAAATCTAGGTGTGATTTTGGATTCCCTAGTTGGTGAACCAAATGGGCACCAATTCCAATGAAACATTGGCCATAAGTTCACCTAAACTTAGGTCCCAAGCCCTATTAATTTAGGTCCAAATTGATTCCTCTAAGATGGTCAACCAAACCACCTAAGGGTTACCTTAGAAAAATCTTAACTCACTATCCTATACTGGAGGGGGTGAAACCAGTGGCTCTAGCCTCCCTAGTCTAAGCATAATCAGCACACAAACATTCAAATCCTATATCTCATTGGATAGGTAAACATATTGATTTGAAATTAAGAATCAAACCATAACCCTTAGGCTCAGACCAACTCAAACATACCTTGGCCAAATCAAACAAGAGAGAAAAATTTTGGACATGTCAGATACATGCCCATGATTAGTCTCCCAAGGTTTCAAGCTATGAAGAGATCAATTAAAGTCATGAAAGAAAAAATTCCATAGATAGAATCACTAGGATTGAGCTAAATACATGCATAATTAAAGCTTGAAACTAAAGGGCTTTGATAGGTCACCCCAAGACCATTTCAATGAGGCTAAGATCACCTGAATTGGAAAAGTGTATGAGGAGATCTAATTTTTTGAAGTTTCCCTTAATTTCCCATAAAATTAAATGCAGGATTTACATTGTCAGTCATTCTTTTCATGCAGGCATCTCCTGATTGGTGAACTAATCATTAGTAGATGATGTGTAAACATGGGGTTAATCATAGACATCAAATGAGTGATCTGAATGATGCAATTAAATGGGCTTCAAAACTGTGGGATCAAATGCATGACATTGATTAAGATCAATGGTCACGATTACGTCTTCAACCTCTCGTTGTCTTTCGAAGACGTGCATATTTTTTAGCGGGATCCGAGCGATCCCGCCAACGAATCTGCATAAAACATCAAGGGAATGGTCAAGAAGATATAAACCACTAATCCAATAATAAAAATTTGATGGGATAATAATTTGTTTCACACTAAACCAAAGTTAGCTTACTAGGGCTCATGTTAGAGTTTATACCTCAAAGAAGCCCTCAATGAATGAGTTTCTCAATCAAGAAGCTTGAGAGGGAGATGAAGATCACTTCGCCTTCAAATGTTGAGCTCGGAAGATGGAAGGAGGTACGACTTTGGGTGGTGGGCAAAAAGATTTTATTAGAACTCGCTTGAATTGATGATCGAAGAGGGTTAAGAAGCTAGGGGAATGGAGAGGAACGCTTAGGGAGCTCTGGGGAAGAATTTAAAAAATGCTTGAATGAATCAAGCACTCTGGAATAAGTTGCCCTACTCAAGTCATTTTTGCAACCATGTACAGTCGGGATCACTTAGGTTGATGGCTAGATGGATGCCAAGTGGGAGAGGACACCTCCTCAGAGGTTTGTGAGCTTAGAGCCAATGGATTGAGCTACCGGGAAGCGTGGGATGAAGCTCTAGATGGAGGGGACCACTGGAGGTTTCTCCCATTAGCTCTGATCGTTGTCGGCCACTAGTTGGGTCAGGCCTATGTGGAAAGGATGTTGGGGTTCTAGTGAGCTCAATTAAGCCTGAGGCTGCTTGATTTCTAAGATGAGCTCCGATTGTCCCAAACCTTTATGATTTGTGTTAACTTGGGCTCAACTTGGTCAGACCAGCTCATTAGATTTATAGGGAAGGTGTATTAGGCCAAGAGCTACCCAATGCAAGTGAGAATTCATCCTGAGTTGGATTGTATAAGAAATGGGCTTAGGTCAAAGTGGTTTTGCCACATGAGGCTAGCCTAGGGCTGACCCAATTTAACCCATGGATTGAGCTGACTAGGGTAGGCACCTTGGTTCTAGGGCAAGCCAATGAAAGTGTTGATTGAGCTTGGCGAGGTCTAGGTTGGGAAATGGCTCAACCCTTAATGGTTTTAACCACTTTGAATTAGCCTAATTCTCAACTTAAGTTGACCCAATTGCTGGGCCAACTAGGGAAGGTGTGTTGGGTCATGGGGGATCCAATGTCACCATTAGCTTGATTCAATTTGGCTTAAGTTGAGGTTTAGTTTATGGGAGATCCTTCTTTGGACACTTGGGTCAAGTCAAATGGCTAACCCAAGTGAACACAAGGCTTGGGTCTTCAAGAGGGGTCTCTTAAGGACCTAATAGATCCTTTCATGAGTTTGAATGTGTTTGGAGAAGCCTTGGTCAAGAGATTTGAAAGAGGTAGGAGTGTATGTGAGGTATGGTCAAACTTAATTGAATTACTCAACAAAGTTTACCTAGGGTCAAGGGGTCCAGGGTATGCTCCATTGAGTTCAAATTGATCATATGAACTCAATGGAAGTATTATCAAGTCAATAGGAGTTCATTTGGTTTGAAATGGCCATTTGAATCCTTAAGGGATATTTTGGTTAACCATGGTTGACTTGGTCAACTTGGTCAAACAAAAGGATGGTTTTAGATCTGTTGTGTTCCTAATGATATTTAGGATTCATTAGAATAGGTTTTAAGGTTTGATATGGCTAGGCCATGTTGAATTTTGGGGAAAATATCAAAAATCCCATAAAAGGGTATTTTGATCTCTAATCAACTCTATGTTAAACTAGGTCCAACAAAATGTAGATTATTAGTCAACATGTAATATTTAAGGTTAGGGTCTAAAGTCTTGGAGAAGGTCCCAAGGTCAAATTCCATAGGGTAGAGGGTTTAGTGGCATATGTTATAAATATTTGAAGAATTTGCAGTCTTTAAAAATCAATTCTATATCTAGGGTTAGAAGCCTCATAATGAGCTTCAATTTGGAGGATTGACTCTAGAGACATATATAATCAATATGCCATGAATAGATCATAAATCAGATGTCATTTGACTTGGTTTTCAAGTGATAGAAAAGTAACACAGAAAAGGCTTCAGGACTTAGCCTTTTGGCCATGGATTTGGACTTAGGAATTTTGGGTTTGCGATGGATTTTGGACTTGGTTGGCTGAGTTTGAGTTGTTGATACCAATCACAATCAAGTAGATGATTGGGATTGATCTAAGTATGATTGATGTTTTATTGAAGGTTGACTTAAGATATGGAATTGAGGATTAAGATGGGATTTGGATGGAGATTTGGTCAGGGATCTTGGCTGGAATTTAGATGAGACCTATATGACTAACTGGTGGACAATTATCATTCCTTAGATCACAAAAGACAGATTTGGATTGGTCCTCATGACCTAATACAAAAATGATGTCCACATCCTATAAGTTCTATTTTTTCAAATATTTTTGAAATTTTCATTTCTAATCTTAGTAAGTTCATATGATAAGCCATTAAATCAACATGTCATTACTTTATCATTAAATTCCTTGTAAGAAATTACATTCAACCTAATTTTTATTTGACCTATTAATAATTAAATAGCTTATTAATATATAAAATTAGGTCTTATGTCATGTCATCACAATCAATTTAAGCCACAACTTCACGAATGTAGGGCTTACATGGTGCAAGGAGGACAAATAGAACCCCCGGCGAGCTCGACTAATAGAATTGAGGTATGAAGCAATAGTACAACTCAATTGATAGACACAATTGAATTCTACACAAAACTAATAATATTTTAGTAAAATAATTTAAATATTATGTATTAATCATTGCTATTTAAATTAATTATTTTATTTGAGTTTTATTTTTCTTAATTGAAACTTAAATTTTATATCAGATAATTAATATGTATTAGTAAAATATTTTATAATAAAAGCTTAGAATTTTCTAATTATTTTTTAGCATAAAAAGATCTCAATGTTTTTTTTTTTAAGATGAGTATATTATATATTATACTCATTTTTAAATAATTTTAATTATTTTAAAAAATATTTTTTCATTAAAATTTTTTATTTCATTCGTTTTTATAATTAATGAATATTTTTGTACACGTTATCTCTTGGGTAATGGTGATGGGATCGCCGTAGTTTATTATTAATATTATTATTACGATTAATATATTGAAGCTCTACATAGTTCTAAAGAAAAAACTTTAGTCAAATCAATGAGATGGATTTGTTCATTTTAGAATACAAGTCTTAGATATTTTCTTTTTACCCCACTAAGCTTAGCTGGGTTCGTGGGCGAATGTGATTAGAAATCTCCAACCCACATTTGATTTTTCTCTCATGCGGCACGTCGAGGAATTAGTTGATCAACAAAACATCTCCTTTACAGGTGAAATTATTCTTTACGGACGTCGAATGCCATCGGGAGACCAACCAGAATGCGTCATGTCTCCCCTTGCTTAGTACCCGGCTTAGTACTAGATACCGTAGCTCAGTACAGCTGACGTGGCGCACTCTGATTGATCTCCGAATGATAAACTACGTTTTATGTCCGCACAGTATATTCCATTCTATGAGATTTTACTTTCAAATATAGAAATATTGCATAAATAATAGAAATATTGGATAAATTCTAATATTGCAATTATTTTGAAAAACAAGCTGGCACGTGATTAATTAATATAGTAATAATATAATTAGAGATTAATATCTTAATAAAAATTTCCAAAAATATTATAAGAATTAAAATACCGATACCCAGAAATATTATTTCGCATACTAAAAAAATACAAAGTTTAGAATTATTATCTTCCTTGCTGGCTTGCTTCCCACAACTACAGCTACCTGTAGCTTTACCGCCGCCGCCTACACCGTCGGGAAACTCTTCAATTTCTCCGCAAACGCCGCCAGCGCTACCGATGACGAACCACCTTCAGTCATCGCGGCCGCCGCCTCCGCCTGAAGCTCCTTTGCGCTCTTCCTCAGCCTCTCACCTTCCTCCCCCTCCATCAAGTTCTTCACAACCCGGCTAATCTTCTTTCTGTCAAAAATTCCATCTTTCCTCGCCTTTAACCTCATCGCCACCTTCGCTCCCTCCACCATCATGACCGCGTTCATCCTCTGTTCTGCAAATAGCGGCCAAACAATCATCGGCACGCCACGCGCCATGCTCTCCAAGGTCGAGTTCCATCCACAGTGCGACAAAAATCCACCGGTTGAAGAATGAGCCAAAATATCCACTTGCGGTGCCCAGGAAGGAACCACCAAGCCAACTCCTTTTGTCCGCTCCAAAAACCCTTCAGGTAAATACGCTAATGGGTTGTCGGCGCTCTGCGCCTCGATGTAATTAGACCCAACAGAATTTAGATCGACGGGGGTTCGAACAACCCAGAGGAAACGTTGCCCACTCGCCTCTAATCCCAGCGCGAGCTCGCCTAGTTGCTCCGTTGAATGAGATCCCACGCTGCCGAAGGAGACGAAAAGAACGGATCCGGTTGGCTGTGAATCGAGCCATCTTAAGCAGTGGGCACCTTCCTCGCCGGAGACTGCGTGAGCGCGAATCAGCGGGCCGACGGCGTACAGCGTGGCCCGACCTGGTTCTTCTTTCTTGAGAAGGTTCGCGGCCTCTGGTTCGATTGCGTCGAAGGTGTTTACCAAAATGCCTTCCGCTTCACGGTAACGCTTGGCGTGCTCAAGCATCCATCTGTAGCATTCGTTCTTCCGGTCTTGAAGCGGGTGGAGGATTTCGGTGCCGGGGATGGGGGGGTAGCCGGGAAGGAGAACTGGCTGCTCGAGCTCCCAGAAATCGCAGGAGAGCTCAGCGTTGAGAGCAGGGAGATGGAGCATGAGGGTGACGAAGAGTAAATTCGTGGGGATGAAGATGAAATGTTGAATTTTGAGGGCTTTCGCGGCGTCGCAGCCGGTGGTGGTGAAGAGATCGGCGATGAAGGCGACGAGACGCGTTGAGGACAGGAGGGGTAGGAGGAGGGAGCGCAGGTGAGGGACTGAGCGGGCTGCGGCAATGGACATACGGGTTTCAACGGCGGAATTTTCGGGAAGATCGGAGAGAGGGATTGGGGGAAGGGAAATGGAAGTGATGGAGGAAGGGAGGGAGGCTAGGAAAGCGTCCTGTGTTTTGTTCGAGTGTTCGGAAAAGGTGATGAAGGTAACGGTGAAGTGGTGGCGGTCGACGAGGAGTTTGGCGAGCTCGGCCATGGGTAAAATGTGGCCCATGCCGGCACTGGGGAAAAAGACAATGTGAGGTTGCCTTGCTCCGTTATCCATGGATCTCTCCGTTTCTTCGATGAGGGAAATAGAGAGAGAAGTGAGCGGGTTGAATGGGGGAAAGTGGAGCCATTTATAAAGATCGCATCTTGAAAAAGTCCACAGCAAGTGGAAGAGAAAATTTGTTATTTAAATATTTTAGATTTAGTTAACATGTCTAGCATTTAATATTTCTCATAAATCTTTTTAGAAATTATATCAAGAAAAGAATTTTTATATGAGATTATTGAGTTTATCAAATCAAAATTTTGGAGAAGACTTTGCATCATGATGTGAGTAATCAATTAAGTGTACAATTTCATCTTTTCTTTGAAATTTTAAATCATAATATATAAATATCTTATGTTCTGAAATTTCAAACATTGGTTGAAATTATATGAACAACTCAATATTTATACAAAATAATGATAGGATAAAGTGATGGAATAAAGAGACAGAAATTACAAATATGTAACTGTCACAATCTCAGTGAGGAGAGATTATTCTGTGCGGTCATCGAACCGTCCGGAGATGAATCCAGATGTGTCATGTCACCCGGTACATAGTGGAACAGTGCCGGTACACAGTAAAAAAGTGTCATGGTGTGTCCTGATTTGTCTCCGGACTGATTCTGATGACCGCACGGAATAATTTCACCTCAGAGACCACTAGATATATGGATAACTAGCAATCAAAGTTTTTATCAACTTGGAATTGTATTAATCTATAAGAAAATGTAAGATAATGAAGAAAAAAATTATTATAGTGTTTTCACTTAAGAAATTTTCTTAGGTTCACGCTAGCAAGTGGACATTGGGAAGTTTTATACTTATGAGAGGAAGAAGAAATTTGTAGGTTAGAATGTTCTAGCTAAAAGTTGGTGAGAAGAAATTTTAAAATTCTCATATTTATTATAAGGATATTTGGTTGCAAGCTCTTAGAATTCAAGTGTATTACAAATACATTATTAAACAAGCTTAAATGTGCTCCAAATTAATACTTTTTAGTGTGTGGTTTTTTGTAAAGTAATCATGATATTATTTTTTAATGTTCAAATGTTACAAGTGTATCAATATATTTTAATTTTTAATTTTTTGGATTTTTTATTTGGCACAAATTGATGCAGAGGCTAGAGCTCAAAGCAATGAGGTCATCATGGAAGTTAGAGATCTCTTGGTCGAAGGTTTAACGCCACTGCGCTGCCACCCAACACAACAACATTGCATGCAAAATCTAGAATTTCTGTAGAATAGAGCCTTCAATGTCGCAACAGAAACTCTGGTGTCGCTGTGCTAACAGACCCAACGCCACAACATTCATAAGTGTAGCGTCACAGCTCTAATTCAGACATAAATTTTGATTCTCAAATGTGTATGTGTATTAAAAAAATTTTAGCTTGTTACAAAATATATGAAAACCAACACATACAAAATGAACCAATTATCAAAATAACTCATTCTATAGCATATCAAAACTTACACATTTGAAATTTCTCAAACTTTGTAAAATCATTTAAAACCAAAAAAAAAAAACTATTCGTACAAACGTCAAAATTGAAACAAAAATAGGGTATTGGTAATCTACCTTGTGACACCCTTAAATCTAAAATGAAATAATTGTATCTGTTTTATCATCTTAATTATTACCAGAGCTACTATTTATTCATTTACTTAATATTTCCAACGAAAGTCATTACCAATCATATATATCAAAATGTAATTCTATATTCATTCTTTTAAGATGTGATTTACAATAGCTAGGAAATCATTCAATACATTAATATATCTTTCAGCTCCTAAGTATAATAGAATAAAAGGAAAAAAAAATTTAAAAAAAAAATGGAAATGTTGATCAGCCTCAGTTTATAGGATCATGCCCCTTTCCCGGACCTGAAATCAAAACTACATAATGAGCTTACAAAGCTTAGTAGGCAACTGAAATTATCAATGCTTTCAATGCAAGATCTTGAGAATTAATATGGATGATCATCTCAATCATTATCAAATCAATAATCAATATATACAATAAACAATCTATAAAATCACTATAAAAATTAATATGATCAACAAATCAAAAGTATCCCACTAATCATAGGAATATGTCAACAAATAAGAAAACCAATAAATGCTTATAAAATAATGTTAGGTGCTATATAGTAAAATGTATGTTGATTATCTATTAATGATATTCATGCCAATGATTTTATCATCTGCTTTATAAATCATTATGGCATATCTCAATGTGTTATATCAATATGTCATACTAGTATGTTTTATCAATATGTTAATTAACATATATCATTTTTCCTATCACATGCTATGTTATATCAATCTTAATGTTGGTTCTATCAATTATATATATCAATGTATTCATACTCTCTTATATAATGTATGCAAATATGAATACAATAAAAATAGCATAGTCGAAATTCTATCAATCATTATATCATGTATCAGTGTGTTATATCAATATGTTATACCAGTATGTTGTATCAATATGTCAATTAATGTCTATCATTTTTCCTGCCACATGTTATGCTATATTATATCAATATTAATGCTGGTTATATTAATTATATCTATCAATGTATTCATATGCTCTTATGTAATGCATGTAAATATGAATATAATAAAAATAACATAGCATGAATTCTATTAATCATTATGTCATGTATCAGTGTGTTATAGTAATATGCTATACCAGTATGTTGTATCAATATGTCAATTAATGTCTATCATTTTTCCTGCCACATGCTATGCTATGTTATATCAATCTTAATGCTGGTTCTATCAATTATATCTATCAATGTATTCATATTGCTCATATGTAATGCATGTAAATATGAATACAATAAAAATAACACAGTAGGACATCCAATTAGTTACATGCTATTTTCTAGTTTCCCATATCAGGGGGCTATCTTATAAGAATCGTCACTCTTGCACGTTGGTATATTTTGTCCCCTTATGACTCCCTATCTTGTATCTTATATTAGGATTATACTATAACCTATAATTTAAAGGAAAGCCCATGACATACCCTCCTGTACATGGTATCTTGCTCCAACCAATCTGAATTATTTACAACTAGTAAGTCTTGCTAGCACTAGCACATTTATCTTATATCGATCATATCATATGTGAAATGCAATTAATCAATTAAATACAAGAAAATCTATACATTATGCATTTACTTTAGAAAATTAT